TATATGTATATATATATCCACCTGAAGGACTTTTGTTGATAGGGATTGCAAAAACTTTTTTTTTTTTTTTTGAGGTAGGGTCTCCCTGTAGCCCCAGCTAGCCTGGAACTTACTATTTAGACCACGAGATGCCTCCCGAGTGCTGGGAAAAATGGCATGCACCACACACCACACACCACAAACCCAGCTTTGCAAAAACATTTTTAAGCACTTACGCCTGGTGGTATAGTCCTATAACCCCCGAACTTGGGAGGCATAGGCAGGAGGATTGTGAGTTTTAGGTTAGCCTGGGTTATATAAAGAGACCCTGTCTCAAAAAACAAAAAGCAAACAACAAAATAATAAGTATGATTTGCCTAAAATATTTATACTCACTATATTGCTTTGATTTTGTTCATTATAATTTTGACTACTCTTACTGAGAAATACCTGGGCTTAATTACTCTCTACAGCAAGTCATCAGTTCTTAATTAAACAATAATTAAGATCTACCCAGCACAAATGAGATGGGTTATAAAAGCCCCCTCTTAACAGTCTGTACCTATGTCACTCTTCTGATTGAAAGAATTACATATAGTAAAAAATTGAAAGTCCTCACCCATGGCTCACAGACCTTTCTGGAAGCTCTAATTTTAGCTTTTGGAACATCCAAAAGCAATTAAGATATATGTTTAGTGGACACATATCTTCCAAGTATTTTGTGTGTATACTGACTGTGACCCTCAGCTACAAGGGAATTAGAAAATTATTTGAATTCGGGCTGGTAAGACAGCTCAGCAGGTAAAAGCAGCACTTGCCATGTATCCCTGATGACAGGAGTTGGATTCTCACACCCCACAGTGGAAGGAGAGAACTGCTGATGGTTGTCTTCTAACATCCAGACGTGCATCCTGGCATATGTGCGTCCACACTCAATACGTCATGCACACACACGCACACACACACACACACTGATAAAAGTAAAATATTAATAAAGAAAAGGATTTGAAGTTAATTCTCTGAAAGTAATGGAAACTAAACAGTTCAAGAACCCATCTTCCGTTTTATTATTATTTTGTTTTGTTTTTGAGCTTGAGCAGAGAACATCCTGAGTAGCTAACATTACAGGTGCAAGCCACCAAGCCCAGTTTGTTTTCTAATTTAGCTTCCATTGTTTGTGCCTCTGTTGCAGGGTTTGGACTGTGTAAGAACTATTGAAGAACTGGCAAGAGTCCTCAGAAAGCATTCAGGTACCTCTATTGAGTTTTTGAAAATATTTTTTACTTCTTTAGTGTTTTACATGCTTACACTTCACTAATGCCTTTGAGGAAATATGGTGACTCATTTGTAATTTTGGTAGCATTAATAAATGTTATGTGGTTTAATGTGGAAGACGGAGGGCTTGAGGGGAGAGAGAGAGAATGTGTGTCTGTGTGTGTGTGTGTGTGTGTGTGGTTTGTGTTGCTGCTGCTGCTAGCTATTTTATTTCAGGACTGAGCATGTGTGAGGCAGGCAAGAAATTTTGAAAGTCATTTGCGTTACTGACATTAAGAATTAAGGGGCTGGAGAGATGGCTCAGCGGTTGAGCGCACTGACTGCTCTTGCAGAGGACCCGGGTTCAATTCCTAGCACTCACATCGCAGCTACAAACCATCCTTAACTCCAGTTCCAGGGGAATCCAAAGCCCTCTTCTGACCTCCGCGGCATTGCACGACACGGGTGCGCTCACATACATGCAAGCAATACACTCATCCACATAAAATAAAAATAATAAATTATATATATATATATAGAATTGAGGTGCAGTTGTTGCTAAAGCCTGGTGGCTTATGGTGAAGAGTGTCCTATTGGTGAACTGTGTTTGCAGCTCTTCTCCACAAGCTGTGCATAACCTCAAACATGCTGTGTAGCTTTGCTTGATCTCTTTTCTCTCATCACTAATCTAGAAAACTATACTAGGTAATTTCTAAAGTATTTAGAGCTATAAAAAGTGTGTAGGTTCTGTATGTAGTACTCAGACCTGAAATGCCTCTGACATATTTCCTTGCTCTTAGGATAGCTGTGATGGTAATAGTAAAATATGTGTGTGTGTGTGTCTCTGTGTGTCTGTGTGTGTCTGTGGTGCTGGGGATGGACTCTGGGGCCTTGAACATCCAAGGCAAGTGCTCTTACCACTGAACCGCATCCCCAGCTCTATTTTAATTTTAATGTTTTGGTTTTTTGAGACAGTGTCCCATTTAATCCAGTCTAATCTCAAACTCACTCTTTAGCTGAGGCTGACCTTGATCTTTTGATCTTTCTGCCTGTACTTGCTAATTTCTGGGAGTATAGGTGTGCACTGTCATGTATGGTGCATGGCTGTTTGTTTAGTTGGTTGTTTGGTTTGTTGTTTTGTTTTTTTTGGGGGGGTTCTTGTTTGTTTTTGGTTTGGTTTTTTTTGTTGTTTGTTTGTTTGGTGTTTTTTGAGACAGGTTCTCCCTCTGTAGCCCAGCCTGGCCTTGAACTCACAATCCTCTTTCCTCAGCCTACTGAGTACTAGGATTACAGATAAGCTGTTAAACTTGACTTTTTAAAAAATATTTTTATTATTTTATTTGTATAAGTGTTTTGCCTGCATGTATGCAAGTGCACCCATGTCATACAATGCCCATGAAGGTCAGAAGAGGGTGTCAGTTTCCCTGGAACTGGAGTTACGGATGATTGTTAGCCACTATGTGGGAGCTGGGAACAGAACCTAGGTTCTCTGCAAGAGCAGCCAGTGCTCCTAACTGCTGAGCCATCTCTCCAGTCCCCTAAACTTGACTGTTAAAATGTAATTTATTAAACTTTATATGCAGAGAGCTACAAATCAAAGAGAAAACCCTGGTCCCCATTCTCATGGAACTGAAAACCCATGGTCTATTCACAAATAATCTTTTCTTTGCTTCATTCAAGGATAAACTTGTTATATAGAGTCTATCAAATAGTTTACAAACTATTTTTTATTTATTCCCAATTAAAGTTACCTAATCAGATTTTTATTTTGTTTATCGACCAACTGATTGACTTACTAATTGAACCAGGATCTCCTTATGTAGCCCAAGCTGTCCTTGAACTCATAGTCCTCCTGGCTCAACTTCCTATGTTTTGGATTTTTTTTTTAATGCACAATGGAACCTGGTGTGGTGGTGTACACCTTTAATCCCAGCACTTGGGAAGCAGAGGCAGGAGGATCTTTGTGAGTTCAAGGCCAGCCTGTTCTACATAGCCAGTTCCAGGCCAGCTGGGGCTACCAGGAAACCCTGTCTCAAAAAGACTAAATAAATAAATAGCACAATGATAAGTTCTCTTTCTATATTGAAAAGGTATTTTCCTCACTGGGAAAAGCCTTTACTAAAGATGGTTTGTTTTGTTTCAAAGGTTATGCCAAGGAACTAAAATACTAAGTTTTCACAGTTATAATTTTTTTTAGCACTGAGCTGAATTTTGACAGTTTATTATCAGCCCATCTCTTGCTTGCTCTCCGTTTCCTTCTGTGTTGTTTGAGATCTAGACATTATGTCCTCTCCCAAGTATCCTCAGTGTAATTTCTGAAGAATGAATCCTGTTACATGGTTCATTTTAGACTAGAAATGGTTCTGTATAGTAGAAATGGAATATGGATTTCATGGAAAAAGAATTTAATAACAGCTAGAAGATTGTGCTTAGACCCTAATGCCTTCAAAGGTAATGTCCACAACTACATTATTGAATGCCTACTGTGTCATTAATAGTATTGGGCACTAAAGGACGGCAGAACAGTGAAGTCTGTGTCTTTCCTTTAATACTCTTACCTTCCTTCATTTGGGAGGGGGTAGATGCTCAACCGAAAACCTTTGGAATTATAAAATAGAATCAGGTGGTGTGCTATGAATAAAGATTAGAGGACAGGCTCGTAAATGTTAAGCATGGCCTATCATGTCAGATTCCTTAATGGGAAGAAGATAGATTAAAAAGACAGAACAAGTCTAGCACAGTATTAGTAGGGGTTCTAAAGCCAAAAATTTCTGGTTTTATATCTTGGCTTGCAACTTACTGATTGTGTGATCCCATGACATCACTCATCCTCAGTTGCTCCTAGTTCCTCAACAACACAGTGAAAATAACATCGTTAGCCTTCACATTAAGAAAGTAACACATTCTAGTTGGATATTGCTACAATCTCAGTACTCAGAAGTGGAGGCAGGAAGATCAGCAGTAGCAGTTCAAGGTCATCCTTGACTGTATAGTGAATTCAAGGGATGCCTGAACTACATGAGACCATATA